CTAAAGAGTAATGTCTGTTTTACTTTATGACATTTAATAGAGATGAGTTTTACAGTTATAACATTCATGAATTTGATGTTTAATGATGGTCTCGGAACTTATGCCTTGGGAATGCTGAGAATCTAATGCATGCATTTTCTTGTAACTTATTTTGAGTAAAATATGCAAACTTATTGGACCTAAATATTTTGGTTAAAGAGAAATACGCAGATGTACTATTTAGTATGTGCTTAGGCAAGTCATATAACATAAAACATAGTTTTCTCCCTTGTAAAATAATGAAGCAGGGCAAAACCACTAAGGCATTTTCTAGCTGTAAAACAATCCTGTTATAAATTACTAACTATCTCTAATCATTTGAATTATGGTTCAGCAAATATTAACATTAACATCTCTCCCCCTTCCATTGTAGGAAGAGTCTACTTTCTCATTCTATTGATGTCAGATTTGTCAATGTAATTTGCTTTGGCCAATCAAATGTCAGTGAACTCCACAGGAGCATAGGCCATGAGTGTTCTTGGGAGATTAGGTTTATACTTTGGAGACTTGTCATGAAAACATGTCACTGACTCTTCATCTTCAGTCCAGAGCAAAGACATATATAGCAGACCTTAATCCAACATGCATCATAGAGCCTATCTCAAGCTAATCTACCTCTTGAAGCAGAGCTTCCTGGCCAAGACCAGCTGAGTCAGTCAAGGTACAAGTAACCTAAACAGCCAAAAATGTCTTTTGTTTTCAGTCAGCAAGTTCTAGGGTGATTTGTACCACAGCATTATTGCAGTCATAGCTAATACTACCATACATGTACTATATAAGAAAAATACCAATATAGCCCTTCTTACTAGCTCAAATTTATTTTGACTTAAACCCAAGTTGGCTTACTAAAAAATTCAGCAGATTTTTGTTGACAACACCACATGAAGGCTGTACTGAACATTTGTATATTTATGAATGCATAGCTTCTAAATCTCTCCAAGGATTCAAGAATCTACCATTGTATGGGACTTACTAGACACAAGGCGTTGACTGCCACTACAATGAAGAACACATTCAGCTATTTATTTTCCCTGACCTCTGGCAATAAGAACCTAGTTCTGTGGCCTAAACCTGTCTTATGACAGCAGTCATCAATTTATGACTCATCGGCAAAATCCAGCCTGCCATCTGTCTTGGTAAATAAATTTTTATTTGAACACAACATGCCTATCCATTTATATATTATATATGGTTTCTTTCACCCTAAAACAGCAGAGTTGTGTAGTTGTGACAGAGACTACATGACCTGCGGGGACAAAAATATCTACTAACTGCCCCTTTACAGAAAAAAATCCATCCTGTCACTTATCAGATGCTTCTGCCAGAGACCCTAATTGTGGAATGAGTGACATACAACAAGAATAAATAATTTACATACTTTTTTTTTGGGCAGTGATGATAGTAAGCAATATCCAGTGCAATGGTGCTCCCGGTAAAGCAGTGGACTCTGGCATGACAGCAAAATAATTCAGATTTACCTCATAACTTGATACTGGATATATTCTGGATGCCTAGCCTGCTCTTCTTTTATACTTTCTGTTCATTGCTAAACCTAGCTCTCAGGCTTTCCTATTGATTCCATGAGGTATCTGATATCCTTTTAGTAATTTATATAATTCTACCTAAAGTAACTAGAGTCATTTTCTGTTAGTTGTAACTCAGAACCTTGAATGGTCTATAGATCTTGATTTATTGCTAATTATTAGTAAGATGTTTTCATTCCATTCTCCAGGGATCTTTTTCTTGCCCTCTTGTATAGCTCCAATCTATCAACCCTATTTTACTGGCTGGTTGTCCATTTTCTCTCCAAGACTGTGAAGCTCTTCAAAGTGGGGACTGAGTCTAATTCTTCTCTCTGTAGTTCTCAGGGAAATTTGAAAGCATGTCAGAATGAATTGACAGTTGTCATGACTATCAGAGCCATAAGATCACCATTTTTATCATCAAAATTGCCAACCTTAACTGAACCATTATCATGTTTAAGCAATCCACTAAGTTCCCCACATATATTGTGTCAGATAATCTTCATAACAACCCTGTGACAAAGACACTGTTCTTTATACATAACAAACGTATGGAGCAGAAGATTTAAGAAACTTGCTCAAGGGCACATAGAGAGTCAGCAGCAAAGTCAGAACTCCAAAACAGGTTGGAACTCTACAGCCTGTGCTCATAAGCAATTACTTAAGAAAGTTTTTATCTGAGATTACACTAAAAGTCATAGGAAATTTAACAGCTCCTGACCAATTCCTATAGAATGTCAATGGAAGTACAATTTCAACCTCTGGATAAGGAAAGGGTGAATCTACTGGGGTTAGAGAAACTCTATCCTTTGTCAAAACCAGAAAAGTCCTCAGAGTTGGGGTGCGATTTTAGCTACCCTCTCTGTGGAATGACATTAGTGTTTCTGCTTATTTTTAAGTCTAAGGTGAAGGTAAACTGAAAGGGAAATGTCCATATGACCCAGTGAGAATGGAATACCTGGATCATTTGCCAAAAATTACTTATAATTAAAGTGGAGGAGAAACCTCAAAAAGCAGAAAGCGTTATTTCTACTTTAGTTCAAAACTGGTAGGTGTGTACAGAAGCACAGTAATCCCTGGCCACCCAAGAAGCCTCAAAGGTCCTTAGGGGATGGTGTGGGTGGCCTAGAATGCTTGGAGAAAACACTGACTATAAGAAGATAAACCAGAGGGGAAGAACTTCCTAACAGTGGAATGAACATCCCAAAAGATGGTAATGAAACTGACATCACTGGAGTAGCCTGCAGAGGTTCAAAATGACTCAATGTGAAATGCTGGGAGAAAGTACACCGTGGCAGCAATAGAAGTTTATTTAAATATCTTTATTTGTTTATTTTAGAGACAGTCTGTTATTCAGGCTGGAGTACAGTGGCACAATCATGGCTCATGGCAGCCTTGAATTCCTGGGCTCAAGGGATCCTCCTGCCTCAGCCTCCCAAAGCACTGGGATTACAGGCATGAGCCACCATATTATAAGTTTAAGTTTGTATTTGTAGCATATACACAGAGTGGCTGAGTTTCTTTTCCCTTATCAAGTCTGGCTTTGGATACTGTGGGACCAGTTTTTTTCAAGGAAGTTGAAATAAATCTCTCTTTTTTTGTTGCTGTTTTTTGTTTTTGTTTTTGTTTTGTTTTGTTTGAGACAGAGCCTTGCTGTGTCACCCAGGTTGGAATGCAGTGGCAGATTTTGGCTCACTGCAGCCTCTGCCTCCTGGGTTCAAGGGATTCTCCTGCCTCACCCTCCCAAGTAGCTGGCACTACAAGCACATGCCACCATGTACAGTAAGTTTTGTATTTTTAATGGAGATAGGGTTTCACTATGTTGGCCAGGCTGCTCTTGGACTCCTGACCTCAAATGATCTGCCTGCCTTGGACTCCCAAAGGGCTGGGATTATAGACATGAGCCACTGCACCTGGCCTGGAAGTTGAGATAAATCTGTTAGACTATCCAAAGGGGAAATATTCTCAGGTTTCTGAGAGGAGGCTTGAGTCCAGACACATTGAACACCCACTCTGTGCTCAACACCATATCAATCCTGAGCATATAACACAAACAAAACATAGCCCTTTTCTATAAGGAGCTTGTGCGGGAGTCAGAAAAGTAAACAAATTGATTACTATATGTTAGGTTCTAGGAGTAGGCGCATCAGATCTTATATTCTACAGGGTAGCCACCAAGTCTGGAAAATTTACAAATACATAAATGACTTATTGATATATTACATTAAATGACGAAACAATATCCGAGTTTCCAGATGTTATGAGCAAGTAATCGTTTTAGGATTTCTAGAAAAAGACAACATCTGAAGTGAGACCTGAAGAACAGGTAGGTCAGAGGGAGAACAAAACACTTGGGCATTCACAAATTGATTTAATATCGCTAGAACATAATTCGGAGGGGCTGGCTGTAGGGCAGGCAGGAAGAAATAAACACTGAGGCTGACCAGATAATTATAAGCAATTAAGGAGTCAGGGTGTCATTCTCAAGGGAATGAGATTATAGTACTGAAGCTCTTATACTTTAGAAAAATGATGACCACTGAAAGATCATTGAGAACAAAGTAGAGACAATCATTTGAGACAACTCAGATTAATGCTAGAAATCTCTTTAGGTGCCTGATGTAGTAAACCAAGAACTAAAATAGGAGTAAAGATGGTTAGAAATGGACAGATGTAAGAGATACCATGGAGGTTCCCTGTAATTATTAGACAAATGATTTTATTTCCTCTGAGAATAATTAAGAAACCTACCTTGAGAATAAAGAACTTTGAAATGAATCACTTTAAGCTGTTAGATAACTTTATTACTTTTAATCTCAAAATGTAAAAGAAAAAGTATTCCACTTCTTGTGATGTGAGGCTAAATAATGTAACTGAATTTCTGCGCCCCCTTCAATTAAGTCAACAGCTAAATATTTCAATTAAGAAAAAAGAAATATGATTTTAAATTAACAAATTCCCCATTGCAAAAGAAAAATGTGAGGGAGGGTTATGCAAAGTGTAAAGTGTTGCCCTTCAAAATAGAAATAAATGAAAATCAATTTTTATTGATAGGCAATATTTTAAACATGTTAATCTAAGTATCAAACTCCTATGCATTTTTGGACACAGATTTGACTAAAGATAAATATGTTATATCGAACAACTGTTTATAGCACCTCAATTTAATGACCCAATCTGATTTACGATTACCTGAAATTTTAGAAGATACAATGCTTCAACATAATGCTAAATTTAATACTGAATAATTTCTACAATTCAGCTCATTTTTCTGAATTGTTCATCATTATTTGTTCTCATTTTACTTACCACTTTTCAATGACAGTGATACTTCTTTTTCCCTGTCTTTTTTCCTTGGAGGGTACTGAAATAAATTCTACAGTTCCCTGAAAACAAATCATTTCTCTAAGTATCAAGCAAAATGTACGTGTTACCTACCCTTGTCGGTCCTTGTACATTTTGTTAACTTTCTCCCATTGGAAATCAAGCTGGGAGAGAGCTTCCTGTAGCTTCACCCTTTCCACAGGCGTTGCACTTTGCAATGCTGCTGTCTTCTTGCTGTGAATAATGTCAATCCGACCTGAGCTTTGTTGTAGAATATCTTTTATATTCTGTAATATAAAAATTTTAAAACAAGTAAAAAAATGAATTAGCTGTCTGTAGAAAGAGAAAAAATATGTATAAATCCCAAAGGTAACAAATGGTGTTGCATTTCTTAATTACTGACTTTTTAAAGTTAATAACCATGAAGTCCAGTGACTTTGACATGCTCAAATTCAATAGGTAAATCATAGACCTCGCCCTGAGAGAGTGGATCACTCCCTACATCTTAAAACTGCCTTCATTTGGCTTCTGTATCCTATCCTCTTCTGGTTTTTCTTCTACCTTTATGTCCACTGCTTCTCAGTTTCCTTTGCTGGATCCTTCTCATCCTGATCTTAATGTTAGAGTGCTCTGACTCAGTATTTGCATTTCTTTTCTTCTCTGTTCATAATCCCTCCCATTTGTTCTCATAATTTCAAATATCCTGTATAAGACAATGACACCAAAATGTGTATCTCAAGCCTGGACATCTCCTCCAAACTCCATTCTAACAAATGCTAGTACTTTCTCAACACTTGGAGGTCTCACGAGACTTTCAAACTTAATATGATGCAACAAAATTCTGAACTGCATTTCCTAATCCTCCTCCTCCCATAGATTCCCTCATTTCAGTAAATGGCAATTACTGATTTCAATTGAATTATAGTAATTCAATTAACAATTACTCAGATTGACAACTTTGGAGCCATCCTTAATTTTTTCAGTCTCCAGTATTCGAATTATTGGACAATTGTTCTGGCTTGACTTTCAGGACATATCCAGAATTTGACCACTTCTCACTACCTTTCTTGCTACAGCTCTGATATAAGCTATCATTATCTCTCATCTGAATTACAGAAATATCTATCTAAATGGTCCTCTTGCTTCCAGTCTTTCCCCTCTAGTGGATAATTCTCCACACAAGAGCCGAAAAGATTCTTTCAAAACATAATTGGGGTCATATCACTCCTCTGCTCAAAATCTTCCAGTGGCTCTTCATCACAGAGTTCAATCACAGCCAATTTCAAAAGCCTACATGAAAAACAATTATTCTTGCTGCACTTTATACAACTACTCAGACCAAGTATAATAAAGCAAATCAGTCCTGTGATGATTTGTCTTTAGTAAAAATGGGAGACTGGAGAGAGAAAAAAAAAATTATGTTTTAAGAACTATGGTACACCTGCTATTAGTCTCATCAGTTGTTTGAGTTTTTTCCTGCAATATAGACTGACCCTGCTTATTCCTGTGAATCTGCCAGTGATCTCTGACTATACCTCAGAAGAAACAAGAAAGTTGGGTAATGTGAAAACCTGCATCAGTATTCTAATTCTGGACATGTATTGGAATCAGCTAGCAACCCCATATCACTTTGGTTCCAACAGTTGCCCAGTTCATGAAAAGCCTTCTAATTTAGTTTACTTGGGATAATTTTACTTATTTTGTTTTACAGTTGTGGAATATATTTGCTGTTGCACTCTGTGTAGGAATGCAGTATAAGCTTAGTCAATGTTTTCTTAAATTGAAAACTTACTAATCTTCCAGATACCACCATTTATCAATTATGAACGGCCCTCACCAAACTGATAATTGCTGACTGAGCTCCTCTCTACCCTGAATACAAGAGACCCTAATAGTTAGGCAGAAATATCATCACCCAAATTCAGCCTGAAGAAGTAACAGAAGATGTATCTTCATCCCTCTACTACCCTTAGGATTAAGGGTTCCCTTGTAAAAGAAAGGGGGCAAATATGTCAGAGGCATTGGAACCAGATCAACTCCATCTTGAATAGGGGCTAGGTAAAATAAGGCTGAGACCTACTGGACTGCATTCCCAGGAAGTCAGGCATTCAAAGTCACAGGATGAGATAGGAACAGATAGGGTCACAAAGACCTTGCTGATAAAGTTGCTGTAAATAAGCCAGTCAAAACTCACCAAAACCAATATGGTGAAAAAAGTGACCTCCGGTCCTTCTCACTGCTCATTATACAGTAATTATAATGCATTAGCAGGCTAAAAGACACTTCTACCAGCGCCATAACAGTTTACAAATTCCACGGAAGTGTCAAGAAGTTACCCAATATTGTCTAAAATGGGAGGAACTCTCAGTTCTGGGAATTGCTCACTCCTTTTCCCAGAAACCTCATGAATAATTCACCCCTTGTTTAGCATATAATCAAGAAATAACTAAAAGTATCCTGAGTCGAGCAGCCCATGCCACTGCACTGCCTATGGAGTGGTCATTCTTTATTCCTTCACTTTCTTAATAAACTTGCTTTGCCTTTTTTTAAAAAAAAAAAAGCATAATCTTTACTATGACCTATACATCTCTCTATGACTTGGTTGTATACTACCTACCATTCCAACTTTATCTCTTCCCAGTCTCTTCATAGTCCACAACACTCCACCCTCATTAGCTTTACTGCATTACTTGAGTATACCAACTATATTCTTGCTTCAAGATTTCTGCCCTTGCTGTTCTCCCTGCCAAAAATAGTTTTCCTAACCAACATTTATATCACTGGTTCCCTTACTTCTTTCTCGTGTTAAAGGGGCCTTCTCTACTAACCTATTTCAAATAGCATCAGCAATCACTCTTTATTCCTTGTATTATTCTTCCCTTTTCTTTATAGTACTTATTTCTAACATTAAAATATATATCAAGTGGCCTGTATATACCATTAGACTGAAATCTATGAGTATAGGAATGTTGTTATCTGTTGGGCTTCCAAAGCTCAAACCTGTGCTTGGCACATGATAGATGGCAAATGCTTTTTTGTTGAATGAATGAATAGATGATCCCATAAATTGAATCCATGCTTTATTTATATTCTATTTAATGGAGAAATCACAAACCACAAATGTGTTATATAAGAAGAAAGAGAAATCTAAACATATTTATTCTCAAATAAATTTGCTAAAAACTACATTCTGGCTATTCTTGCTAGTATGAATTTGGTTATTTTGATCATCTAAATCATATATAGGGTCCACTGAACAAAATGTATTGAGTTCTTCCCATGTGTAAGGAGCAATATAGCAGAAAGAAAGGTGGGTGAAACACACTTTAGTTTGCTTTTAAGAAGTTTTAAGTGGGTTTTATTGTAGTAGTAAGAAAGGGTATGGTTTGAAGAATTGAAGAACAAAATGGAAGTACAGAAGCCTTAGCTAGATGAGAAGAAGGAATAGATGAGTGTTCTTAGTGGTACCAAACATCTTCTAGAAGTTCAGAGAAAAAATATATCATATATCATATTTGGCCTTAGGCTCAGGAAAGAATTCATGAAGAAGGAGCAATCTGCAGTAGACATACCTGACTAGTAGAAGTGGGAAGAACATTAGAGCTAGTAGGTAACACACACACAAAGCTAGGTAACAAGTGCAGTCATATTTGGTTGCCTTTTTGGTAGCATAGAAGCTTAGGGGAAGATGGGCCAGGAAACAGAGGCTGAGGATGTTCAATAATGTACTTTGAATTTCAACAGAAAATTCTGCCTGTACTTCAGTAGCTAATGGGGAACTATGAATTTTAAAATTTATCATTATTTAAGATTTCATATATATATGAAAGTAGGAAAATAATATAAATAGCTCCCATAACCCTATAATTCAGTGCCAACTGTTATGACTCCATGGACAACCTTATTTTATGTATCACCCCACCCACTCACCTCTTCAACTAGATTATTCTGAAACAAATTGATATATTTTTTATCCATAAATACTTCAGTATTTTTCTCTTGCTGAAATATTTTCTCATGATAACTCTTTTTTCAGAAAGTACATATAATACCATTACCACACCTACAATATTAACAAAAGTTCATTAATTAAATCAAGTATCTAGCTGCTATTCACATTTGAGTTGAAGTGGGAAGGGAGTTTAGGAAAACAGCTCAGCAGAATTCAGTGGCTGTGTGTTGGGTGAAGAAGAGGAAGAACTTGAATGACTCTTAGGTATCTGAACTGGGCATCCACATGATTTGTGGTGTCATTGGGTAAAAGGATTTCAGATGGATGAATAAGTTCCATGGGTGCATGCTTGTGTATGTATGCATAAATGATTAGTTCAATTTTGGACTTGGTCATATTGAAAAGCCTTTGAGGCATCAAACTGTAGATGTTCCATAGGCAGTTGAAATCAGATTTTGAGGAATAAGATGGCAAAGATTGCTGAGCCATACATATTTTCACATTTGGATACATGGACTAGGCTTTCTGAGCAAAGAGTTCTGGTAACTGACTTAAAGGATGACTGAATGGCAAGCTTACCTTGGAATTTAGTGCATTGCTCCGGAGAGACTTAAAAACTTTTATCTCTAAGAGCCCTTTGATTACATTTCAACTTATATTCCAAAAATAATAGATCTAGATCTTTGGTTTATATCCCAGAGTAAAGTCTCTGTCTTTCTGTATATCTGTCTCTCTCACTCTCCTCCTGATGCATCAGGTGTTGTATATAAGCTCTGAGATCCACAATATTGGGGTTTCTCTCCTCTACTACAACCCCTGCACTCACAGATAAACATCTTGCCCTAAGATGCTTTTGAGTAATTAATGGTATATTCTCTCATCCAGAGATCTTGTGTTTCCTGACTAAATATAAATGTTAACAAGTATCAAAAAAGGGAATCTTTTTTTTTTTTTTTTAAGAAATGGAGTCTTGCTCTGTCGCCCAGGCTGGAGTGCAGTGGCGTGATCTAGGCTCACTGCAACCTCCACCTCCTGGGTTTACTTACACCATTCTCCTGCCTCAGCCTCCCGAGTAGCTGGGACTACAGGCGCCTGCCACCATGCCCGGCTAATTTTTTGTATTTTTAATAGAGATGGGGTTTCACCGTGTTAGCCAGGATGGCCTCAATCTCCTGACCTCGTGATCTGCCTGCCTCGGCCTCCCAAAACAAAGGGAATATTCTTGCCTATCTTCAGTCAAAATTGGGAAGGATTTTAATCATTTGTAAGTTGGAGACTGGGTTAAATAGGGAGTGACTGCTGCTGATTGTACAGCTTTCCAGACGATGGGTTCTG